TAAGATGTAGATACAAGTGCAAATACAAATGTCTTTCTTATAATGCAGATGCAAGCGATGCAAATACGAATGTCTTTTTTGTGATGCAGATGCAAGTGATGCGTATGCAAATATTTTTTTCTTATATCTTTTAAGGGGCTTTTTTTACCAGCTTCAAACGGGCTTTATCTAACCATGCTAAAATGTTTCGAATAAAATTTGGTGTCTACAAAGGGTACACATTTATTTGTGTGAACTTCCATGTTTATTATTAAAAAAAAAAATGGGTCCTAATGAAATTAGATCATTGATTGCAAAAAAGGCCTTTATGTCACATGTAAGAGTAATGAGTGAGCTAAAGCCAAGTAGAATAGTTTGGCTTGGATCAAAAGGGATTATTTAACCAAGGTTTAGGATAAAATATAAATAACTCTTATAACTTTCCAACAAAGTTATCAAACTGTTATTACATGGAAAATCGAGAACTCAACCATCTTGACGATTCTAAAAACAATGGAGTCATCATCAATTTTGTTTTTTTCTAGAGATGATGGCTATATAATAAAATTTGTCCTTTGTAATAAGATTTTTGATAACTCTATTTTATAGAGTTATTTCTAGTGCTTTTATGGTTGATTTTTGCTTAGTTCTTACAAAATAAAGTTTTTTTTACTTCTAAATGATTGAATTTGTTGTTTTGTAGGTTTTCTTAAAGAAAAGAATTCTTTGTAATTCTTGAAGATTCATGAAGTTTTTTTCATGTTTCTTGGATGATTTTTGATCATATTATGGATAGTTAGGATGTTTTTGGAAGTTCTTGATTCTTTTAAAAATCTTGAAATTAAGAATGGAAAAATTGTTCAAGATTGGCTTTGGCAAGTGTTACGGAGTTAAAGATGAGGAATCTTGAAGAAAAAAGATGAAAATTCATGCAAAAAATTGAAGTTGGAATTTCGACAAAGAATAAGTGTAGGATTGTACTTTTTCATGATTACAAATCCATAGTAGCTTGTACAAGTGCATATGCATGGGATTACTATGGGATGACATGGCATTTAAAGAGTTTTCTTATTGGTTAAGGAAGATGATGTGGCATGATGAGATGGTAATTTTACTTTTTTTCCTATTTGGAGTTGGATTTCTTTTCCTAGTGAGGAAGTATTCCTAATTCTATTTGAGTAGGATTTTGCATAGGTTATAAATATAACTTGTATAGGCATTTAGGAAGCTTTTTGGATGAAGTTAATTTTTGATTTTTCTTCAAGAATTCAACCTAAAGAATGGAAGAGAAGATAAAGATCAAGATGGAAGGATTTGAAGTAACTTTTTGGAAGCTAAATTTAGTAAGGTCAAAAATATACTTTCTTGATTTAGCAAGATTCTATTTTAGGTAAGTTGATATATGGTATGAAAGAGTTGCTACATATCAAGGAGGATGAAAATTATGGTATGGAAGACAAAGTATGGTTTAGAAACTTTCTTGTGAAGAATCCTTGTTGAAGTGAAAGACGAGAAGCATTCTTTGATTGAAAAGTTCAAATCCAACCAAAATTGGGAGAAAACTTCTTGTGTCACGGACCTAAGGAAGAGTCATGAATCTCACATCGAACATAATAAAAGGGTCACTGGGGTATAAAAGGGTTCACACCACCTCTGCCTTGTGAGGCACTTTTTGTAAGACAAAACCGTGAGGCCAGGGGGGCCAAAGCGGATAATACCTCACAAGGGTATGAACCATGACAGGAAGGCTGATCTGGGACGTCGGATGAGTACATGCCCGAGTCCCGGAGCTACGCGGGTTTGGAGCTTAAGTCTCGACCCGTGACTAGTGGTATCAGAGTCAGTCCTAAATCATTCGATCCACGCCAAGCACCTCAAGGGAGGTAGGCAGGGTGGCCAGCCTCCGTGACGAGGGCGACACGAGGTTGGGTGCGGGAGAATGTCACGGACCTAAGGAAGAGTCCTAAATCTCACATCGAACATAATATGAGGGTCACTAGGGTATAAAAGGGTTCACACCTCTTCTGCCTTGTGAGGTACTTTTTGTAGGACAAATCATGAGGCCATGGGGGTCAGAACGAACAATACCTCACAAGGGTGTGAACCATGACAGGAAGGTTGATCTAGGATGCCGAATGAGTGCATGCCCCAGTCCCGAAGTCGCACAGATTCGGAGCTTAAGTCTTGACTCGTGACACTTGGACTCCCATATTTAGTTGAACACTCTAGGGGATTTTTAGACTTATAAATACATGATTTAAATGTTAGGAAAAGGTGTACAAAGGGTTGGGGTGACAAACCAACCTAGATAATTCTTTAGCCTTCTTACTCTAGTTTTCTTTAGATTTTCAAGTATCTTTTTAAGTTTCTTTAAATTTTGTTCTTGCACTTTAATTTTTTTTTGGTTCAAGTTATGCAATTCTAATTTTCAGTTTAAAATTTTATTTTGTTTTCTTTAAATTTTAGTTCTTGCAATTTCAATCTTTCTTTAATTTTTGGTTTAGTACATGCTCTAGCAAGTTCTCAACTTTGGTTTATCAATTCAACCTAGTTTTTATGATCTATACAGTTTTGGTTTTAACATTATAGTTCTTTAGAGATTTTAGTTTTTGCTTAGTGTTTGGCTTTAATTTTACATTATTATTAATAGTTCTAACTATTGCACTTATTATAATTAATTTGAGTTGTTTAATTTCATAGTTTTACTTTCTAAGTAATTTTTATTCACTGCTTTAGATACTGCATTTAATTTTACTGCATTGTTTAATTTTTCTGCATTAGTTTTAGGTTCAATTTTTTTCTCTTTTTAGCAATTTAAAATTTTACTGCACTTAATTTTTAGCTACTACATTAGGTTTTTTTTTTTTTTAAACTATTTTAGTTTACCACTTCAATTTATTAGACTACTTTAGCAGTTAAATAATTTACTACATTGATATTAAGTTGTTATTTGAATTTACTACATTAAAGTTTTTATTTTTACATTGTAAATTTCGGTTAGTAGTTTAATTTATGTAATTTTTTGTTTACATATTAGTTTATTTAATTGCATAATTTTTTGGTTTTCCAAGTATAAGAAAAAGTGATACAATTTCAGTGCTTGATTCTCTCATATATATAATTTTTGTGAAAATGATATTCTATTTATCATCATATTTCTTGTACTGATTCTACGATCTTAAATTTAATTAAGACTTTTAAAAAAAACAACTTTTTTTCGCAAAAATAAAATTCTGTTTGATAGTACCTTTTCACAAAGGGAATATGCCAATACCTTACATATTTGTTCAAGAAAAAGTATCGATTAATCATGTATTATTTTTTATAGCTTTAATAAATGATCTTTCATTTCATATTTAATTTTAACTCCCTTAATTTTCTTTTATTCTCGCCAATTCTCCTTTTTTCTTTTATCCCGTTATTTAAATATTGACAAATTTTCTTAGGTCATTTTTGTAGGTCCCAAATAGATAGTGCTAGAGGATTTTTTTTTTCGCCGGATATTTTTTGAGGAAAATTCCTTCAATAAAATATACTATTTCGAAATTTCTAATAAAATTTTCATCAAAAATTTTTATTTGAAATTAAAAAATATTTTAAATATCTTTTTGAAAGGAATATTTTTGATGGAATTTACAAGGTTTAACATGAAATATTCCGTTGGGAAATCATGCACCCAAAAAATGACGTCAAATTTTATCAATGGAATTTTTGCCGGAATTTATTTTTGTCAGGTATTTCCGTAAAAATTATCGTACAGATAAAAATCTTTCTCCATATATTTCGTCAAAAATCCGTGGGTATTGGACTACCTTTAGCGACGAAAATATTTAGTCAAGAAAAATTCCACTAAAAGTCAATTCTCTTACGGTGAATTTAATAAATAAATAAAAAATCAAATCTAATAAAATAACTAAAAAGGTATAGATTATTCTGTCATTAAAAAAAGGCATAAGATTATATACATTTTAAAAAATAAATACACAACTAATTGTGTAAAAAGTTCACTGTAATTAACTTTTTTTTTTCTCTATTATTAGCATAGAACGGAAATTATTAACACAATAATTGATGTCAATGTATTATTTGATTTATCGAAGAGGTATTAAGATAATAATGAATGAGGTCTAAATTGCAAGTGTTAATAAGTAACCATATCAAGCTCAAGCTGAAATTTTACAAAAGTAAAGGGGATTAAAAATCTTTGGAGGGGCGAAAGAAAAATAATTATATCTAATTTTTAAAAGATTAGGGGATTCATTTACAAGCTAAAGGAGGAGGGGCCAGGGTTTAGGGTTATCATTTTTTCGAGTGAAACAAGTTGTAAAGAATTAATTATACTATTTTACATTTACAAGTATCATAGACAACAATGTATTTATACAGAGGTGTAAATAGAAAGATTAAGTTATCTAGAACTTTAGCCAGTAGCGGATCCAAAATTTTTTTCTATCCACTTATAATATATATAAAAAAAATTGTAAACAAAAATCTAAAATATATTACTATATTATTATAATTGTCAATGATGAGTTTTCATAACTTGAAATAAAAACATAATTGCATCATTATTAATATTATCAAATACATCCTCAATATATATAACTAAATAATCATTCAACCAGTTCTATCATTCATGGATTTATGATATATAGAAGAACTGCTGATGGATTTACTAATTCTCTCGATATAAAAGATATTCAAAGAAAAAAATTCTCTTTTAAAATTTTTTGTTTTCCAATGTTTAGGGTTTCCAAAGACATCCTATCTTAAGCCATGGCTCTGCCTATGACTTTAGTTATATTTTATATTTTACTACTAATTGTCACTCTTACATATATGTAAGGCTATTTTTAGGTTATTTTATAATACTTAGCAGTATTTTACTTAATTCCCAAGTATTAGGTTTTGGGAATAGCTTATAGATATTTATATTATTTTAGTTGAGATTAGGATTTGGATGATGAATATTGACATTTTCTCCCTCTATTGATTCTTTCTAGTTTTATCTTCCTGCTGCTTCTATTTATATTATTTCAAAAAAAAAAAAAAGTTCTTCTATTTGTTTCCCTGTTTCTTTTGTTTCTCCTTAATTCCTTTTGCCTTATGTTTGATTTTCCCTCTAGATTTCTATTTTCTATCTATTTCCTTACTTATTCTACACCCTTTACTTTCACAGCCACTATATCAAACTAAATAACTAAATTATCAAGGAAATGTAGCACATGCAGGCCTATCTCTGATTTCTATTTTCTATCTCTTTCCTTTACTTGGTTTACATCATTTACTTTCACAGTCACTATATCAAACCTAAAAACTAAATTACCAAGGATATGTAGCACATGTAAGAAATAAATATGGTAAGGACAAAGTAAGTAAAACCATTTATAATTCATATAGATTTCTGAACCGATGAAATCCATGAAAAAATAGGTTGAATTTTCTTCAATCTTTGAATTTTACATACATTTTACTTCTCATGGACTCACAGATCAGTTCATTGAATTTCAACAAAAAGTAGTGGGACTCACTCTGATTTAGCTTTTACATTTTCTTTCTCCTCTGTTACTGGCTTACCTACCAACTGAACAATCCAGACTGCCAATAAAGTTGCCTCTATTGGAGCAAGCCAGTATACAAGTATATGCTCCTTCGTGACATGATCTCCCCGAGCATAAGCCCATCCCATCACCTGGAAGATTTTAAAGTGTTTGATCCATTAAGTTTGCTATTGAACACGTCAGGACAAAAAAATGGGAACCAAGCAAGATATGCAGTTAATGATTTTGGGTCCTTACAGAGGCAGGGTTCATACATCCACCGGTGAGATCAGATCCAAGAATATGTAGAGCTAACTTGGAGACACTTGCAATCCATGTCTTCATGAAGAAACTACCCGGGATCTTTCTAGCAAGCCCAAGTGAGATGATGACAATTGCAAAAGTCAAGAATCCTTCAGTTAGTGCACCTCGGTGGATGTCAACTTTCAAACGAGGGCCAAGTCCAATTCCAGGAAATGTCTGAATAATGAACCTAACCCCAGTAATAGATCCGATTATCTGAAGGAAAAGTAAGAGGGAGAAGAAAAACGACAATAAAATAGAAATAACAATACCTCAATCTAAAGAAAGTGCAAAGAAGAAAAGCTGTTTTCTACACTTGGGAAGATGCAAATTTTAGATCATAGGTCATGAGAACTATAAACTCTGGGTGGTCAATGCAAAAAGAAAGCCAAAGAAATTTGTGAAAATGCAACAATAAACAAATCCAATTTCATAGCAATATCAATAATTTTCTCTTTCTCTGCTCATGCTTTGTAAGAACCCTTAGGTTGTTTTTTTTTTTTCCTACAGTTAAATATCTTCTCTTTAGACCCTGCATGTACCTGTTACAAGTCATGTCCTCACAGAAAAACCTGTCGTAACAGAATAATGTACTAACTGTAGCCAAATGCCAAGGAAAAATCTTTTGAAGGACCAAAAAATTCAGAATATGTAACTATACACCCAAGTTTTGTTTCCACATCTTCTATCACTATTATGTTTAGATTCTTGGATTAAAGGAAAGAATCATAATAGGAAGACGACTAAATGTTTAAACAGAAAGCGACGGAATAAAAAAATAAAAGTTTAAACAAAAGAAACCTGTCAGAAGTGAATCAAGTACACAATCAACCAATATATCATCAATAAGAAACAAGAATAAACCCATAAGACAACAATATACTATACCAAGAAAACAAAAATCAAGAATCCGTTGAGAGTTGTTCTATTGCTGCAATTCTCAATACATAATACTTAGAATGTTCTTCCAACTAAAGCAAATGAACATTTTTTGAAAACAGAGACAGCAAGCACGGAAAACCAGGAGGTGGGGGTTTGCTATCATCATGGATATGTTACAGAACTAAAAGGCCTCCAATTGTTGATTACCGTGCTTTGAACACTATCAGGCTGATGAAGGGCAAGCCTTGAAATTTCAATTCTTTCTCTCCATGCCACTATATTTATTAATAGGGTTCATAATTCAAGTTGTCATCTAGAGACCTCCAAACAGTTGAAAATGATCCTAAAACCACTCTCTTATCTTTCCAAAAAACACCAAATCCACCCTGGCTTTCAAAAATATGCTTGTAGCTCTTTTCTACCAGTAATTTCTTCCATCCATCCATCCGTCTTGGCATCCCATAGGCAAAATTGATGAGACAACACAATAGCCTCAAGAAATGATGAGACAACTGATTTCGACATATCATTCTGTACAACAGGTGCCATTTAAAGAATGAGACACTTCGATCGAGGTCCATGTTAGTTGGGTATGAAACAAAACATTGTAGTCCCAAGTTTGCAAGTAAGAATTAAATTGATGCAGGCATGAGATTGGATGGCAGTGGCAGAGGATTCAAACAAGAGTGTCATGCCCTAGAGGTTTCCAAATTAAGATTTAGACAAGCTACTTAAGGAAATCTAAGTATATAGAGATCAATCAAAGCACAAATCCCCAATATATTTGACAAATGTGGACTTAGCAATAAACGGGCACTCTACTCGGATTACTTCATTCCCACTCCAACCTATTGAAACGATGAATAATCTAGGGATTCTTATGCCGTTCACTATTTAGATCCAACCAGGAAGCAGAAAAGTAGCACTAAACCGGGCCTTGCATAAGCATTGGAGACCTTCACAAAATCATAAAGAAAAATTTAAAAAAAACAAAGAGGTAACCTGAGCGGGAATTCTGGCCCCAACAGTGAAAAGAAAGTGGCTGAAATCCCCAGAAACGGCAGAAGAGAAAACGGTCAAAGGATTGTAAGTGCCACCTTTGGTAACCTTAGCCAAGAATGCAAAGAAGAACATGTTGATAACCGACAAAGCACCCTTCACGATTTCAGCCTTTGGTTGGTCAGCCATCCCTAAACCCACCATCACAAACATCTTTACCATACTACCAGACCATACCCACATGAAGGAGATGATAAAATCGTATAAAATCAGCCGAACCTTGCCCATCAGTTTCAGCTTCAGCTTCTTAATAATAATTCTGATTGTTTCTTTCTAGATTTAACTCATCTTATTCCACCAATTCCTTTTTCATTCATCCAATCTTTGTACAACACCACACAACTGGGGCTGCCAAAGCTGACAGATTTCTCCAAATCTGGGTAGCAACGAACTTTCAGGGAAAATTCTGCGGGAACAAAATTTCCTGTCAGAAACAAAATTTCGACATTGTATTTATCTGACCATTTTATAAGTATTTTTATATTTTATATAAAAATTATATACCATAATTTATGTTATATAAAAAATATAAAATTTATATTTTTTAAATTCAAATATAATATTTTTATTAAAAATTTAATCTGTGCTACTTTTTTTTATTTATATTCACATAATCATACAACAAAATTAATTTTTTGTGATTATAAATTCTTACAACATTAATTGTCAAATCTATAATATATTAAAATGATTTTGAAATAAATTATAATTTCATAAAATTGTAATATTGGACATATTCAAATTATTTAACATACTTGTGTTTAATTGATCTAATAATATATAAATTAAAAAAAAAATGTTAAGTTTCATTTTATGAGGTAAAATTAATATATCATATTATATAAAATATATTTATATAAAGAGAGATCAAGTCACTAATGTAAAATTAATTTATTTTGTATTTTTTAAATTTTGTATACGATTAATTTACAAATTAATTGTTAAATTTAATAATATACTCATATTCTTCATGCACGAAAGTTTTAAGTCAATTTAATATCCTTATAATTTAAATTGAGAATAATATTTTATATATACGAACAATTAAAATTTTATTATTATCAAATAAAGAATTAAATATTTTTTATTAATTTAAAATTTGATATACATGATTTATGTGAATAAAATATAAAATTTAACAATCGAATTAATTAAATATAAATTATAAAAAGTATAAAAAATATAAAACTACTTTAATTTTATGTTGATGTAAATAAATCTCTCGTGCCTGTAATACACTAAATTTGAAATTTGAGTGAATAAATATGTTGCTTAGTTTTTAATCAATATTTATTTGACAAATTATTTTTTAGTTGATAGATACATAATAAGAATAATAATAAAAAAAAAAGGTTGAAAGGCATATGCAATTAAACAAAATCAAATTTTTAAGCATATATGTCAATTTATGATAAAAGGAAGCCGGCATTTCTTGTACTTTTTAACAGGGGGATGATCTTTAAAAAAAAAAAAAAAAGCTAAATATCATTAAATATTTTTGCATTAATGTAAGCACAATATATCACTAACCTACACATTTAATTAGTTTATAACTATAGGTCCAGCTAGATTAGTCCAATTAATTTATAAGTAGTATTAAAATCTTTAAAAATATTTTTACATTAAAATCTTTAAATACATTTTTAAATTAAAATTAAATAAAAATTAGTTATATCTATATTAAAAGATGACTAGATGGATTGATAAATTTTTTTTTTGTTTTGTTGTTTCAATTCATCAATTTTATTGGTTACAAAATTTATCTAATTAAAAAAACAAAAACAAAAAGATAAAAGATAGAAAGCTAAATGGGAATGACATGTGGGCACCTTCAATAATAGTGATGGATGCAAGATTTTTTTATGAGGATATCCATTTATAATATATATATATATATAATTTTTGATAAATTTATCAATTTTATTAATAAATATGATTTTTTTTCAAAATTTTCTTATTTTTTAATTTTTTGGGTGTCCACATAAAATTTAGGGTGTCTAAAAAAAAGCTTTTCTTCAAATTTTCTTAATTTTCAACATTTGGAAGGTATCCATGGACACCTTTTGATAAAGGGTGAATCTGCCTTCATCCATTGATCATCTTTTTTAAAAAAATTTATTTAATAAAAAATCCAAAAAATGAAAAAAGAAAAAGAAAAAAATAAAAATAAAGGAAAAATGAAAAAGAGCTAATAAAAAAAGTTACATGGACACTCATATTGAGTTTAAAATACTAATTTCTTAAATTACGGTATCAACATAATAACTTTATTATTAATATAACAAACATATAAATATAAAATTACATTGATAGTAAAATATATACTTTGATATATATCATGAAATGGGTCGAATTAGAGTATCCTAAACACGATTCCCACCTGATCTTGTTTGTCTTAAACAAATCAATCCGTTTCAACTTGATTACTATTAAAAAATCACTTCCTATTGATTGGGATGGATTAAAACTTGTTAGATACAAATTATTTTACCATATCTATTAATTGACATTTTTTTTTCACAAAATTAATTTTATTAAAAAATAATAGAAATAAAAACAAAAAAATAAAAATGTTTCAAATTGAGCTTAAAATATTAATCTCTTAAATTAAGGTATCAAATAATAACTTTATTAAAAAAAAAAAAGAAACATAAAAAAAAGAAAAATTAAGATCATTAGGTGCTATGTGGACATCACAACTAAGTTTAAAGTATTAATCAGAATTAAAGTATAAAATAATAAATTTATTAATATAATACATATAAAAATATAAAATTAATTGAATAATAAAATATATATACTTTTATATCTATTACAAGGTTATTTGCGATAGAGGACCTTCAATTCACATTTGACAATCCCACTTTTTTTTAAAAAAAATTCCACTCAACTCAACTCAACTCAATTCGATAACAATTTTTTACAAAAGGCACATATTGACTCAAAACGAATTGAAACTCATCATATACTAATTGTTTTATTATCTTATCAACTAGCTCATTTTGTTATAAAACATATCTAATTAACAAAATACATAAGGAAAAAAACAAATGGAAATGCTATGTGGACACCTCTATTTACATTATTTTTTCACAAAATGTATTCTAATTAAAAAAACAAAAAAGTAAAAAGTAAAAAAAGACAAAAAAAAAAGAAGAGAAAAAAAAAAAACACCCCATCAATATAAAAATCTTGTGACTTTTAATGTAAGGATACAAGAAAAATATTAAAGTAAATTAATTATCAAGCATAACTTTTAAATATATATTTATCTTAATTTGTTAGAGTTATTGGCATACATATATTATAAGATAATATTATATATTTTCATTAAATATGCATTTATTATGTTTTGTTTGTACATATTATAATTTTATATTCAATTAAATGTTGAGATAAAAATATTAAATTTTTTTTGTTATTTAATAAATTAATATTTTTCATTAATTATTCTTTATCATAATATCAATTAATAAATAAATTTATTTTAAAACCCTATTTTGAATTTTTTTTACAAACAAAATTTTTGTCACTCTTTTTGTTTTTTTAAAAAATATAATGAAAAAGCTTAAAAATAAAAGAAATAAAAGGAAAAAAAAAGGTTGAATAAGTTGACACATGGATTGGGTGAGAGAAAGTCAAAAGTTGGCAAAAATGTGTAAAATTTATAATATGGATGAATTTATTATATGGATGGATGCGCAAGATTTATAGTAAAATATAAAAAAAAAATGTAAAATTAGTCTATAAATTGATTTTAGAATTAAGTTTGTAAATGTAAAGAAATTTTAATTAAAAAAAAAACCCAGAGTTTGCGGTCACCCTAAAGATCTTTTCTCCTTTTTTTTGGTACATAACCTTTGATATTAAAATAGGTTGGGAAAGAGATGGAAAACGAGCAACGACTAATCAAGCTTAAATAAGGCATTGATAAACTATTGCATGTATCTATAAACATGATATCTTGCTTAGATCGAATAGTTTCATACCAAGTAGAAGACTCCATAGATGAGATGAAAGTAATCTTAGAACCATATCAATTATAATCAAGGTCAAACAACTTTAGCAATTTCATGGATAAACTTAAGGAACTTCTTGCACAATCTTAGTTGCAATGGATGTGTGACAATTTCGAGATCTAGTTCAACAACTTTAAAATTAGGCTTGATGAATCCAAAAACATGCCATCATCTCCAATTTATGATTTATTTCAAGATCACTTATTTTTATAATTTTTATTATTGGCCCTTAAAACAAAAAAGAAAAGTTTGGAGACAATCAAATAGTATTTTTCAGGTTTTAACCCTTAAGGACAATGATTATTTAAAAAAAAGGAACATTATATATATTTTATTTACTTTAGTTGTATCTTTATTTATTATTTATTTAAAATTACATTTATTGGTATAAGTAACTCCATCTGTGTGTAACCGTACTATTGGTCCCAAGCTCAAATAAATTGAGGAAGGTTGCAATAGGATGACGACTAACATAAAATATAGTTAAATTATGATGAGAAACCAAAATAAAAATTTTCGTTAGGTCATCGCCTCCTAACAGTGTATTATACTGGAGCTCGAGTGTAGTGATAAACAAGTAAGGATTGATAGGTTGTCGCCTAAAAGCTATGTGCCACATCATTACCTAGGTATAGTGTCAAATAAGCAATAGTTCTCATGTTTTAATCAACGAACATGAGTAAAGAAGTTAGTTTATGGGGGTAAGTTACGCTTGCTACTTGGAACATAAAATCATTAACTGGTAAGCTAGTAGAGATATAAAAGGTCATTTCTATAAGAGGAATTGAAATTGTGTGTCTCCAAGAAACCAAGTGGGAAGGGAAAAAAGCTAGAGAGAGGGGAAAAAGTAGTGCAAAGTAATTACATTTAGGAATGGGAAGTAGATATCTAATAGCCTAGCCTAGGTAGGTTCTGATGATGCAATAGTTGTTGAGTCTGATGATAAATATGAGGGAGACCTAATTCAGAAGGGGGAAAATGATAAGAAGGTATATGAGAGTGTAGTTCTTTCTTAGTTACTTTAGACACTTACATAGAATTCAGTACCTAGTTCATCTAGTCCTGTTCCTTTTAGATTTAACCTATTTAGGTCTTACATTCCTTTTCCTCAAAGGTTTGACTAGTAAAAGGAAGAGAAACAATTATTAAAATTCTTAGAGTTGTTTAAGAAATTACACATCAACATCCTTTTTATGGATACATTAGAATAGCTACCCACCTATGCTAAATTCATGAAGGACATTATCTCTTAAAAAAAAAGACTGAAGGATTATGAGATAGTTACACTTACCAATGAGTGCACATCTTTGATTTAGAGAGGACTACCTACAAAACAAAAGGATCTTGGTAGTTTTATCATTCTTTGCATTATAGGTAGTATGTCTTTCGAGAAAGCTTTATGTGACTTAAGCTCTAGTATCAACCTGATGCCT